AAGATTTTCAAGGTCTAATCTTTTTTCTTATGGTTTTGTATTTGCTCCAAAAAATTTTGTAGGGTAGGATGCTTCACATTCTGCCTGGTTCAGAGAAGCGTGAGAAGAATGACGCGGATAAAACCGCAGCGAGCGAGAAAACCTCATACAAAAAGGAAAAGATGGCGAAGCTAAAGGCAGCTGCAACGAAGGTTCGCCATATAATTCTAGCAAAGATTTATTGTCTCATTTGATGGTTTAGTCCCATTCATGGAATGCTCTCTTCCTTGGTCCGAACGCTATAGCAGACACCCTCGCTGAGAAGCTTGGTGTCGAAAAAGGTGACCTGCTGAATTCTGAGGGTGGAGAAAGGTACTTGCTAGATTTTTATATTTGGTTTTCTCAGCATAGTTTCTTTTTTAGTGCGGGTGTCCGCTTAGCACTAGCCGAGACTAGGCTCGTGCGTGAAACGCGAGAATTTTTCCTCAAAAATGGCGTATGCCTTGATGCGTTTTCGAGACCGGCTGCCAAGAGGAGGTAACAATTTGTGTACAATTTATAAGAGCTCTCTCGACGCAGAAAACTTTAGTGACACTGTGATAATCACCAAGAATTTACCTGCTGCCGTAGAGGTAGAGGAATTGGAGCGTATGTTCGGGAAATTTGGTGAGGTGGAGAAGGTTCTAATGCCGCCGGGTAAGTAGTGCTTGTGAGCAGCCTTTTTAGTTCTGTATTGCATTGGCTGCCTCCTGGTTCATTTTCTAACTTGAGTCGTGTTCTAGAGGGCGGCATCAGTGCCATCGTTGTGATGAGCAATGCTGTAGATGCCAAGAAAGCGTTCCAAGCATTGGCATACTCGCGTTTTCGTACCCAGCCTTTGTACCTTGAATGGGCACCTGGTGATGTATTTGGTGAAGAAGTCAAGGAGAAAGAGGTTGGACATCCCCTTCTGCTTTCTATGCTTTCAAGTTTTTAAGATCTTGAATCAGGTTGTGGAGCATAAAGAGAGCGAAACGAAGGAAGAAGTGGAGGACGAAAAGCCACCAAAAAAGAAGAAGAAAAAGACTTATGAAGAGAAGAAGGCTGAAAAGAGGAGACTAAAAGAAGAACAGGCAGATGTTAAGAAGGAAGAAGAAGAGGATGTGGCGGAGGAACCAAGTTCTGCAGAGGTACATAGAGAAGAGGATCATGCAGAAGATGTGAGTTTGGAAGTAACTTTTTCTATATATTACTCATGTATACTTTAGACAAAGAACCTTGAGAAAATGAATGATGTTGAAGAGGATGAGGTGTTGGAGCCTAATGCTACTGTTTTTGTCAAAAATCTCTCGTTCGCGACTACGGACGAAAATTTGTCCAAGTTTTTCGGGTCAGTTCCTTTT